AGTAATCGGAGAGTGAGGTCTGTACTGACTAGCTTCATCGTGATCTCTTAGGAACGTGTTGCGAATGATTAATCCACTGTTTGGCATGGGAGAGCTTTTGTTGACACATTTCCAGAATCTTAGCTCACCGTTTGACTCTAGTTCATGTGCAGTCATATTTCGTAATTAGCTCCAATTCATGTACAGTCCAGACTCTTGACTCTAGTTCATGTGCATTCATATCTCGTAATTTGTCGACATTTTTTAGTTGCTCTGTGCCAAACAGCTGGTTATTCATCCAGAATACCTCTCGGGAAGGAAACAAGATGAAGCTACTGGCCAGTCCAAACCCATCTGACCTTCGGCTCGATGTAAGCACCTTGAAATGTCAACGCTTCTGCTTCAATTCACGTGAAGCCACAGTCCTTAATTTGTCTATACCTTCCCAGTTGTACTGTTGACATTTTTTCAGCTAAGAAAATCCTCATCCCCACTTCCACATACCCAGTCGACAATGCGGTCTTTCCCACCCTTTCAGACTTTTCCAACTTGCAAAGCTAACATTGACCGATCCGTGCAGAGCACTGTAGGTTTAGCTTGATGCAATCTTACCAATAATATCAATGGTCAACTTATCATTTAATAAGCTAGAACCATATAAACAGTTCGCATGGATTCTCGCTTGCTTATTTATTTCCTTCTTAGAATTTTCCATTTTCTATATTGTTGATTCTGCTTCTCGACTAAATGCATTTCAAACATTTGATGAGCTTCAGCTGATACCTTATGTTCAACCTTATGTTCAATTGCATCTATTATTATTATTATTATTTAGTTGCAACTTTTGTAATGTTTTTTTCGGTCTCTACGGTTCGCTGTGAAGCACCCTTTGAAAGAATTCCTCCAAAATCGCGCAACATTTTGGAGTATTTTTGTAGTTGTTCTAGTATCAGTTTTATTTCGTTAATACTGGAGTCACTGTGATGTAGGTGAATAAATGTTCGACTGAATAGAACATTAGCCAGAGAAGAGACACCTTAAGGTTGGTAAGATACTGAAGCGTTGTTCACATGTACAGGTATATCTTGCCTTAGGTCAGTAATTGATATCAGGAGAGGCGACTCAAGTTGAATTTACATGTCACTAGTCTAAACCACAAATAGCCATTCCCAGTTCTGTATTTCATTCATAAATGCATTTTTAATAATATATAGTTAATAAAGGATCTATTTTAAGCCTGCAAGCAAATGAATTTTATTTTTCAAATAATACAGAAAAAAGGAATCTAAATTCACGAATACATATACGTACATACTTGTAAATGTGCATGTTTACAATTATTTATTGTACAGAAACATCATTGTATGTGCTTTTAACGCTCTTCTCGTGATATGACGATTTCAAAATTTGTGAATGCGGACAGAAGTGAAGTCGAATTAGTCAAACTTAAACTTGATTTTTATTTTTCCATATGTTTTTTGGGAAACAACGTATAATCGAAAATGATTCCACTCAAAATGACGTAATTCGAGGTATATCTGTATCCTAGTGACGTATCATCACTCATCTGTTCGAACAAGTGTCACTGCAAATTCAGGTGTGTTGAGGTGCGCTTTGATCCTGGATGAAGTCATTATCCAATTGAGCAGAACAACTGATCGAGAGCCGTATGATTGCACCCACATTATCTTCGACTGGTTCGTGTTTATTAATCCATTTTACAAGTTTTCACATGTGACCATCATCAAAAGAATCACTTTCAGCTAACGATCCGTCGTCAGTGGGACGACCGTTTCAGTGTGCCGATTGCTCGGCCGACGACCCACAGTGGGCATCGCTCAATAAGGGCGTACTCATATGCTCAGAATGTTGCTACGTACATCGAAATCTTGGTTAGCCATCCTCACTTATTTTCTTTTTCTACGTCAAATAACACTAAAAACTGATACGCCGCTTGTTCGTAGCTAAATAATATGCTAACATCTGCTTTATTGCGTAGACTGAATCTGCAGTTGGATGTTCCTTACACCCGTCAGTTTCGTTTTTTTTTTTTGCAAATAACAATTAAATTCATTAAAGTAGCAATGACACAAATGCATTAGGTTTTTATTTCGTTGTAATCTTCTTAAAAACTGTAACTGTTGACGAAAAAAGGCGTTCACTTTCGGATTCTGCACCCCAAACTGCTCCAAAAATATTTTTATCATGTTTGCGTGATTCTTCCTGTTAGACAGTGTTGTTATATGACACTAATTACTTTTCTTGGTGGTCTTTGTGATGATTGAATCAATCGACATAATCGAGATGCACCACATACGCAGCAGCGGATAAATTCTTAAAGAAACAACGTTTCAGGTCGGCATGTAAGTCAAGTACGATCACTCAAAAAAGGTATATGGGATAGTAATCAATTGGAATTGATGTATGTCTTGTATTCAAACGGTTCTAATAACATATGGGAACACTCGCTACTGGATCCGCAAAATACGAACAAAATTAAGCGGAAGCCAACACCGCGGTTAATATCCATCCAGTTTTTTTCTCACTCAACTTATTAGCAAGTAATATTAGAGCACTTTAAGTGCTTCTCGTTACCGCCGGATAATTCTCATCGAATATTATGCAAAATGATGAATGAATGCCGTGCTTTCCAAGTTTGTCGTGAAACAATGATGATAATAACTAACATGTCATGGATATGGTCATAAAAAGCGAATGAACTCATTCGTAAAACTGAATCCTTTGAAAATAATTCGAAGAACTAAGCGCGCGCTGAGTTCATAAACAATGAACATTGGTGAATATTCAAGCAGTCACACTTGATGTAATAATGAGAAAAAGTTGAACTTAATTGAAGTGATCTTTAATGCATTGCTTGAAGATCAAATGCAGTATTACTGCCTGCATCTTAATCTAGTTTGTACCAGCATTTATAACGAATAGGTCAGTGGGAAATATTTTCTCGGTATAGTTAAATGTTCTGAAATTTATACCGTTTACCGAAGGAAATTTACCTCAAACATGTGCCGTTTACTTGAACAGAATTCAACATTTAATTCCATGAGAGTACAGACAGATCTGAGTTAATTTTTTGAATTATATTGAAAAACATAGAGCTTAATACTAAACCTGCTTTGGTTTTCAGTGATCCAGTTTTACCAACGAAAGAGAATTTCATAAAAGCTAAGTACGCTCAAATGGCGTTCGCACTACGACCATCGAAAGATGATAGTGTTATAACGCAGGATGATTTGAATCGGCAATTATGGTCTTGCGTTCGCACCGCGCATGTTGAGACCACGTTGAGGTTATCGAATAATTTTGATATCTATTACCATATGGATGGTAGCGTATCCTGTTGGAGTACACGGACATGAGAAAAGCTTATATATGAAAAGGATATATTTGAAGGTGTGATGATTTAGGTTGTTAGTGTTGGGTGCAGATCCGAATTATATTGATCGAGACAAAGGTAATTCGCCGTTGCATGTGGCTGCCAAGGAAGGACAGTCTCTTCAGGTCTTTATTTACTTTACGTTGTTCATTTGATTTTTCTCAGCATATTTTCTCTCATCTTTTACCAACAGCAATTCAGGTCGAGTTATTGTGGATCTATGGTGCTGACGCTGGCAGAAGCAACGCGGTTGATTTAACACCATCGCAAGTGGCAAAGCTCGAGAATCATGTTCGTTCATCCGATAGTGTCATCTCTATTACATCAAAGAAAATAAATACATAAGCTATATGGAGATAAACTTTAGCGAGTTACACTTACTGTACTTGTTTCTATTGTATAAACTGTCTAGGACACTAGACAAAGGTTATATTCGTTTGTAAACAAGGGTCGTCAAATTCACAGTGCCTGTCGTCGGTGCGCTTCTAAATTGATAAAACTAAGTGAATGAGCTATAAATTGATTGTGACTAACTCGTTTTCACGTTAGAATGAACTATGCGCGCGATTGGAAGAGTTGCAATTCGAAGTAACAAATCGTCTAACGATGTATTTGTGTGGACGACGTCCGGATCACTCGAAAAAGCAATACTTTTTGATACCTGAACTGATTGGTCAAGCTAGTCAAGAATCACCGATGCTAAAAACAGTTCGGAAGCAACTCCGAACTGCTCCAGCATCTTTCTTCGAACGTATCACGCAAGATGTCTACGATGAAGTGAGTTGATTAACATTTAGTGCGTATTCAGTCTTTATTTTCATGTTGATTGCGTAAACGTTTAACAATTTAACTTCATTGATACCTCTTTGATGTGTCGTTGAAATTCAATCATTCTTATCCTCTTGAATCGATTCACTATGCAACTAACCTTATTCATAGGTAGCTCTAACCACAGAAATCATCGATCATACTTCTTAAATTGAACTGTTGATTTTTGTAAATTTTCAGTAAGTGTGTCCCATTGTAACATTGCACTATAAAAGAGCTGTTTCCAAAAATGAAGCTTTCCTAATGTTCTTGGGAAGATGAATTCCAAATATACATATCTGAGCAGAAGGATAGTTTTGAGATTAATGCTTGCATTGAAAATATGGATATTATGATATTTTGAAATGAAACGAAGTTAATTGAAGGTGGATAGACGTGAGACGATGGCTGCATGGAATGCCACCATGCAAGGTTTACAACCGATTCATCTCGGGAATGATCAGTGTGTCGCTGTTTTTTTACCAGTTGGTTTATTGTTACTCTCATACATCCTTTTCTTCTCATTTTCTGCCGTACTTTCCATCAGTTTTTCAAAAACTCGATGATGAATTCGTTCTTGATCGATCGGTTTATATTTTTCAACCGTTAATAATTTAGCCGAATCACGAGATGTCTGCGATTCGTAATCAGCTCCGACAAAAGCTTGCAAAATGTGGTCCTCGAGAATTTGCTATGCTTATAATTGATGTGTTGAATGAAGCAAAACGAAGGTTTGTGGGTCGTATCTGTGTTTGTGATTGTCACCATTTGAATATCATTTCAATTCATTAACGCAGTCGACGAACGATTCTTATCAACGATAGCAGCATTCGTCCCTTGTTTCATCGTTCCTCCTCCTAGTTCAGGTTTTACGGCTTACCTCTGGATGATGATGACAACGAACAAACGTCAGTGAAGAAAAATGCTCTCAACTCCAACATTCATCAACAATCAGTTGCCACTGTCGACTCACAACAACCACCCACAAATCTTGATTCAACAATTACATCCGAGTAATTATCAGAGTGTTATTGATTTATTTATTCAGTAACTCATTTCAAGTATATGCCTCTCTGTTATCACGTCTTTCCCTCGTTGGCATTCTTCTCTACGCACGCAACTCTTCATACTTAACTCATTCATTTCAGTTGTGTGACACTAACAAGTGATAATCGTGATTATGATGAAGTTGCGGCTGAAAGTCCACAAAATAAATCGAGAACGTCTGGTAGTAGTACGAAGTGAGACTGTTTCTTGTTTTTGAGTTCATTTAATGATAATTACACTTTTTTTGTGCAATAAATACTTCCAATATATACTTTTTGTAATATATACTTTGTTTGGTCTTCAGTACAAGAATACTTGATCGTACAGTTAGTTATTGGATTGAATCGAGTGACTTCTTTATTGTTTTACAGACGTTTGTCTGATCGAAAGAGTGCTGAAAGCGGTAATCTCCTACAGGGGACTTCAACCGTTTCAGTGGATGATTTTTTGGAGTTGAAAGAAAAGGTGCTCGACTCTGAAACGAAACTCAGCACTTTCCAACAATCCAATACAAATATTTTGAGGTCAGGTAGTATTTCATTTGAAAACGTGCTCTCATTTTCATAATATTTGTCTCAGTTAAATGTATGGGCTCATGTTGTTGTTGAAATTTGGGTTGGAATTTCCTTTCAGCCAAATTTTTTCGAGCTGCAACTTGATAAATGATCACTTCAGAATGCTTTCGCGACTTCAGACGAGTGTTGACCACATAACTGCCGACAATGAAGACATTCGTTTTGAGATGCGAAAGCTGCAAGATGCACATACTCTGGTTGTTCGAATTCGTTTATTCTTTTGTCGTTCTGCCGCTTATGTTCCTCCTCTCTTTTGTTCTTTCTTGCCACTCAAAAGTTTACAGTCATTTCTATATTTTTCAAATGATATCTCTTGAATTTCTCTACCAAAAAAAGTCCATCTGTATCCCCGTCACTTGAATATGCTTTTGTATTCATTCTCATTTCTGTTTGTATGTAACACAGCATTTGTTTTCTTAAGATACTGACAAGACGTCAACCATCTCCAGTATCCAACGCGCTAGCAACTTCTCCAGCCGGTGTTCCATCTGCCAACCAGAATATTCCTTTCTCTACTGCAGTATCTGGATCACGATCGGATTCTGGTGGTGGGATTACTTATCAGTCGACTTCCACATCCGGTAGACCAGCACTTGGTAAACGTTCTTTTTAATTCGTTTACTCGGCTCATCCTTTTACTACTCCTTTTTCTTTGTTTGTTTGATTGAGAAAACAAAAAGCTCTTTGTTTTGTATCGTTCATTTTTATTTTTCGAGTAGTCGATAGTGTTCAGTTATTTATTATTGATAATAGCGGTTGCTAATGTTGCTGTAAAGATTCATTTGATTGTTCAGAAGCGCTTCATATCGATAGTGGTGTTACTGATGGGTACGCGCTGGCTGGTCCAGGTCCACGAAGCGGACGTCGTCACGGAAGTCTAACGTCACCTTCCACTGGTCTGTTCTCATCTTGTTCAATGCAAAAAACGCAGTGCACATGTCGAGCACGTTGACTGCTTCACGAAAGCACCTTCCTGCACGCATAATTCGATTGGCTTCATAACGAATGTTGCTTTTAGGTTATGCTTCTCATACGCGTGGTGTATCACTGTCGGCTATCGGTGGTTTAGCACCGTCCTCATCGGCACCTTCATCTCATCCCGCAGTACAACATCGCAATGGAAGTGCTCCGTCTATTGATTGTACAAGCCCATCAACTCATACAGCTGATGTGGTACGAGATTGGGCACTAAACGTAACACCAGACATAAACAATCGTCTTGCAACAACTGTAATACCCGTCCAACAAGTGCATCCTATACAGCAAACAACAGTTGTGCAACAATTTCATACAAGTCTGTTTGCTTTATCATTCTCGTTTATCTCTTATTGACAGGCATAAAAATGATTGATTTCGTTTAGGGTTTCCTGAGAGTCTGATCTGTGAAACAGAACTTCTGACGCGTGCAATTAAATCACTGCTCAGTGATGCTCAATGTGGACAGTTGATGAATCGAGCACCAGATCATGCACATTCAGTGAGTTATTTGACGAAGTGAAGAGACTTGTTACGTTTGCAAATGAATATCTATTGATGAGTTGCAGATAGCGCTGTCGATCAATCGAATCTGGAACGCAGTACCCGACGAACGTCGTACACCACAAATAGATGCGTGTTTACGAGCCATGTCTGAAGCGACTGTTATTCTGTCGGCCAAATGTAATGCTCCAATGTTGAGTGTGGACGAGACGTGCAGTGCTGCGTATGCAGTGGCCAAGTCTGCGAAGCAATTGCTCGTCAATGTTCATCGTTCGTCATGAGTCTTAAACACTTATTAGCTTTCACTTACTTATGAAGTTCCCTCTCGAAACCGAGTCGTGCACAAATATCACTAACAAATTCTTTTTTCATCCTTATTCATTATCACTATTGTTGGCGTCATTTTTGTGAGGATAATCACAACGAATACTTCATTATTGACTGACTGGTACTTATAAACGTTATTGTTGTATGTGTACGCTGAGTCAGTTAAATTATTTGAAAGAATTATCGGTGTTTTGAAAGGATGGATTCTGAATGGTGCGTCATGCAATACACTAATAAGATTCATCTGTTATCAGGAAGCTTAATAAGTGCTTTTGTACTGGACATTGCATTGCACTAATGATTATAATTGATTTGCATTTATTTGTATAGTTCGCAAGCACTATTTATTCTTCAGTTTGAATATCAATTATCGTTTACCTATTCTACTTGCTTTCAAAATGAAAATGTTTGCTTTCGATTAATGTCAGCATATGAATATCAGAAGAAATATCCTCATTAATATATTATGTCTTTTGCTTTATTTTTCGTTGATTTGTTAATAAGATGAGATAGTTTTGATCTGCTCATAATGTTCGTGATAGCAACAACTCGTAGATTAAATTGATACTTTTCTCGTCAAAATGTGAGGTGGAAATGATTCATATATAGGAAACGTTTGATTTGATATTTTGGCATTTCACACGTTGAATAGAATGAAAGAAAAGAACAACAGATGAGGAGGTGTGAATAAATTGATGAACTTGTTGAGGTCGTTCATGATCCTTTAAAGAAGACCAATGAGGCGTTCAGCTCAAATTGCAACTGTCTGTTTATTTCGTTATAAGAAACGGAGCAAGAAAGCAACTCGAAATTCCAATTAGTAACTGAGTATATTCGTTGTTATCGAAAACATGAATAATTAATCGATGTAAAAAGTAAAACGTTTTATGGTTAGTTTTGTTGTGTTCAACCTCATGACTGATGATTGTTGAGCATAAGACTCGGTTGAAGTAGTTCATTATGAAGTTGAGGAAGTGCAATAAGCATGCTTTCTTTGGGGTAGTATAAATTGAACTTTTATTGAGCACAAAGAAAAAAATCAGTAGACTGATTGAAGGATGAGAAGAGCAACAATGAGTGGGTGATGGTGAATTGAAGGGAATGGAATGAATCAGTCGAACTGACCATAGCTTGATTACGCAACAACTTGACGATGATGGTAACGCTGTATGAAACTATTCGGATGAATGGCAATAATCTCTTTATAATTCTTCAGAACGTTACGCATTTGGTGTGGCACCACTTGCGGGATACAGCTGCTTGCTAAAGACAATATAAATTCACGCGAATAAACCATAACTGACTCATAATGACCATCCAAATAACGACGTGTCACCAGCGAACTTCCACCGCTCGGATGTGTGTACATAATGCTCACCTTTAATCCAACTCATTTATCTTCATATAGTCGTCTAAGAACAAACACTAATAAATAAGCTTACTAGCGTTGCACGTCGATTTACTGTTACTTCTACGACTGAGTTTGGTGCACTGTAATGAGCGTTTTTGAAAGCATTTCGGCGATCACCACCAATATTTCGTTTCATTAAGATCGTTTAAAAGTCACTCGACTATTCAGTCTGCAGTCATAATCAATTTCATCAGTTAAATACATTACGTACATCAACGATAATGTTACGTAATCATTATAGTAACAAAAACAACATTTGAAATTACAAGCATTCAAAACTGCTGAACGTTCATGAAATGAATACTTTGAAGCCAAATAAAAAAACGGTTGAACTGGTTGCTAGAT